TAGGAAATCGAAAAAAAATCGTTACTTTTTTTTTATTCCGCCCAAATATGATTATTCCGGAAGTTATACAAATCGTCGTTAATTTCACTAATGGACGTATATTGAATTTCTCAAATTTTACAAGCGTATATCAGGGGCGGATTAAGCCTTTTTTCGCCCCTGGGCAATTAAAATTATTTCGCCCCCTCCAGGCTCTGGCCTATATCATAATTTTTTATTTTGTCATTTGAAGATTCTTCAATATACATATTTTGAATATATAAAAAAGACAAATACTTATATTAAAATGATTCCCCCTGTATATTATGACATTTCTGGATTCTGCAAAAAATTCTAAACATATGTCATGTATAATGTCATATACCTATCTTCAATTGTTTCGGAAATATTGACAGTTGAAAATTGACTTTTTTGCATCTTTGACAGACTGTGAAACTTAAACGGTTAATTTTAGAAGAAAACGGATTTTTCATTCCTATCTTAGATTTTCATAAGCTATCATTTGACACCAACATTGAATTTATCCGAAGATTATTTAGGCGGAATTTTTAATTAATGGATTAAATTCAAGATTGGTGCCAAATGATAGTTTATAAAAAACTAAGAATGGAATGTAAAATCCGTTTTCTTGTAAAATTAACCGTTCAGGTTTAACAGTCTGTCAAAGATGCAAAAAAGTCAGTTTTCAACTGTCAATATTTCCGAAACAGTTGAAGATAGGTATATGACATTGTATATGAAATATGTCTAAAATTTTCCGCAGAATACAGAAATGTCATAATATACAGGGGAAGTCGTTTAAAAAAACATAAATTTGCGTCACTGCTAGTTATTGGGCCGCCCTGTATACTGGAAAATAATTTAGGAATGTATTACCTACTCATGTTTATCTACAAGTTTTGTATTTAGTTTTTTCTCCGATCTCTGTTAGTATAGGAGATATGGACCACCGCGCTCTTAGTAACTCACCCTGTATATTGAGTTAAAAATGGCATGAGAAAAGTTGATTAGTGCCAAGGTCTTTTCATCTGAAAGTGTTTTTCTAAGGTCTTTATTACCCTTAGGTTGGAAAAGCGCCTCTCTCCAGACGCGTTAGTGGATGGAAGGCAAAGATACATTCTCAATGGTACCTCGATATTGGGAAATGTCGAGATAAGTTTTTCATACTTTAAACTTTGTAGAAGTTCTCCCAAATTTAAGGTGCCATCGTGGCCACTAGAAATCAGAAAATATTTACAGTGAAGACATTCCTGAGGAAAATAATCGACCAGATCGTTTTTACATGTTTCCTTGAGTCGCTGCGCTTTTGTTCTTGTTTCTCCATCAGATAATAGGCCTGTTCGGGTTTGAAAAACGGACGGTTCTAGAACGGTCCAAACTTCTCTATGGTCCAAATAATCCACAGTTTATTATTGAAATTTGTGTGATAGCCAAGCCGTTGTCATTTTGTTGATTGATGAACTGTGCGATTGTTTTGAACCATTCTAGAACAGTCATTTTTCAAACCGAATAAAGGTATTATGACAAATTTATACAAAAATCCAGTTCCAAGGTCAAAATTTTGTCATATTATGTGTAAGAAGTCGAGTTTTTGTCATTTTGCTGTCTGATTTTCTGATTTTTTCCATCTTATTTTTCTTGGGGGTTTTTTGAAATGTTTCGCCCCCTTTGACTTTTCGCCCCTGGGCGATCGCCCAATTCCGCCTTATGGTTAATCCTGCCCTGATATACGCCTTTTAGGAAGATGCATATTTCTTGTTTCAAAACATACGTCATAAGAAAAATGTGTATAACTCAGAAACTCTACTAGCAGTTCATATGCGCCAATTGGAGGGCGTATAAATTTTATGTTTTGCGACATAAATTCCCTGAAAACGAAAAATCTATTTCTCATATACGTCCCTTTGTCAAATTAACGACGAAATATTATGTTTTTTATATATAGATATACTGAGCATGTGCGACGTCACAACTCACAACGTATTATACCTAAGTTATGACGTCAAAAGGACATTTCAAAGCGTTGTATCTCCGTCAATTTTTGACTAACAAGAAAAAGAAAAAACACGTGTTGACTTATTTTTCATGGGCTATCGAAATCAGCAATAAAAAAATTTGATGCAAGTGGCCTATTGCAATATTTTATGGGACTTTTAGTATATTGATAATGACCATAAAAACAATACATTTTCAGTAGTAATATAACAAGTGCAATGGAAATTATCAATAATTTTTGGGAAATTTGCCTGAATGCATTTTTCAGTTAAAAACGCATGAGTGCAAATTTTTCAAAAATTATAGATATATTTTCATATTACGAGTTATATTTTATAAGAAAATTTCCTGAATTATAATAGCAGTTCGCAGTATTTCACTAGGGACCTTGTTCAAAACAATCATTATGTTGCTATGTTGTCAATCAACAAATATGTCAAAAGTTTCATTTAAAAAATAATTTCGAATTTGTAATAATGATAAAAGTATCGAAGACCTTACGCTGATCAATACGAAAAGATCTCAAACGTTGATTTGAAAATATTTTAATCTACTACTGCATAGAAAGCCGATAATTTGTGTCTAATTTAATGTGTACAAAGCTGATAAGAACTCGTTGACTCAGGTAAAAAATACCTGAAAAAAATTATCGGCAATTAGCACATGTGCAAATTATCGATAATTTGCACTTGTGCAAAATTATCGTTGTAATTCGCTGCCTATTGGTCCAAAATTGCCAGACGCCTCTGTATTTTCACATGAATATTACCTGAAGGAAATTTTCAGGAAAAATGCGCAGAAGCAATTGATGAAATTAAAAACTTGCCCGTACATTCGTCGTTTAAGTATTTCATTTTTTTTTGTGAATTGGATTTGTTTTTGATCATGGATCCAGCTACCTTTTTTAAAAAGGTTGTGATGGTCTCAGAATTAAAAAAAAAAAAAAACGTAAGTTAAGGATGGCCGCCTGAAGACGAAATGTCGAATTTTAAATTTAGTACCACCATCTACTAGAGGGGAAGAAGTGACAATGATGAAGTGACATTTATTTTAAAATTGCTTTTCAAATAAGACCGGGAAAAAATAAAAACGATTTTACAAAATTTTGGTTTTTTCCGAATATTTCCGGAAGTATTCGGAATCTTTCTAGTTTCAAAACGGTATTCTATTGGTCATAAAATTGCGCAACTTTGCCATAATTTAACCAACCCCGTATCTCTTACGGTTACCGAGATACCAATGATGAGGCCCAAATTCGGGCCACCCTGTATATCTGGAAAACGATTAACGAAGCATTTCCGGATACATGTTTATTAAGAAAAAAGTTTTATTTTTACGAGATCTACCATTCCTAGAAGTTTGTAACAAACCTTTCGTGACACCCTGTATATTAAAACGGGATGAAATCTATTCAATTTTCTTCAATGTGGCATCCACGCAGTTTTACCCCCCCCCCCTTATGCTTTTGGGCGTGGCACCCAAAAACAAATTTTCCCTGTGGATAACATCAGTCCCGCTTTTTCATTTCATAGATCTGGCAACCCTGGTAATGATGCGAAACAAAAATGAGTACGCAGAGTTTCCGTGCGCAAAGTTCAATTTTGCGCACGCAAATCAGTGTAAAAAGTGATAACTTTGCGCACGTGGGTAGAAAAAAATATTTTTTGTTATTCGATATATTTTTAAAAAATAAAAGGTTGTTGCTCTGGGGAGCAACCCACCTGGATACGCCATTGAATACATATTTACCAATTTTAGATATTTTTATTTTTCCGCACTAGTACGGAAACGTAATGCGGAAAAGTGGGGTTTTGCGCACGCTCGTAGAAAAATATATTATTATTTCAAAATATAGCTTTTATTAGAACAGTACATGAAATAAAATATTGTAGGGGGAAAAACTTTCACAGAAAGTGTCATGTTGGGTGACAGGACGACGAAGGAGCCGAATAAGTTGAAACGAATACCTCACATCACATGGCTCCATCTCTCTCACACTACGTCAGATGATTGTGGAAAAGAAAACTCGATCACTTCTCAAGCCCATAACCATATGATGTCAATAAATAAACATTTGTGACACAGAAAGGAATCCCGGATCAGCTGATATTGTTCATCTCCTTTTAACTTCACAAAATAAAAAGAGACAAAACTCAAAATCAGCTGTTAATCAAAATAAAGGCAATTGTAAACAAACCTGTGGGCAACCAATAACGTTACAGTAGTTTGGGTTGCCTATGACTGAATTTGAATTTACTCTACGAGGAGAGCGTGCAAAGTAAGCGATTTCAATTTTCAGACATAGGGCCAGTAAAATGGGGTTAAAAAGTTTAAAAATTGGAATATGGTAATTTTGCTTAAAATGGCATATAAGCGAAACCCTAAATGAATTTTCGGATTCATAAAAATTCAATTTAATGCTTCGTGAAGCAAGATACTTGCATATTTTTGTTATAAAGTCGTTACTATTGTTGTGCAAACTTTTATTAATTTTAAACCTAATTTTGATGTTTTTAACAGTCTCTATTATTGTTTTATATCCCACAAATCATATTGTCTTTATGAAGTACCTAAAGAAAAATGTTGAAAAGACAAGATTTAGTCAATAAATCTAGATATGTAGCAAAACAATTAAAAATGAGGGATTTAATTATTAGAAAATCAATTTTTTCTTTATTCAAAATTGTAGATGATCTGGCAAAGGGGAATAAGGGGGCTGGTATGGAAAAAATACCAAATTTTTTGTCCAATCAAGGTACCATTATTTGAATCAAAATTTTCAATTTAAATGACAAAAACGCCCCAATAGAAAAATATTGGTACTGCAGGGCGCAAACTGAATTAATTTTTCAATTACTTCAAACTCAAATCTGCCCTATAAAGCCCTCTAAAAGGTTTCAATTTTCCAAGTGGTGGTAAATTTTTGAGCGCAAGCGCACCGACCGCCGTCATTTCTATAAAACCACATTGCGCCTTTTAAAAATCGCTCAGTTGTTTCGCGACTAGTCTGGTGTTTAGGTGTTTATTGTGTAGTAAAAGAGCAATGGATCTAGCGTGCGGCGAAACGTCAAACAAATGCATACGAGCTGTCAAAGATAGGGCAATTTTTAAGGACGATAGGGTGATAAACAATTTATTAAACGACGAAGTTTTCTACGTGCCCAGTTGTGATTATTTTACTAAAGTACAAAATGACATTCAGCCGTTTATGCGAAAAGTTGTCACCACTTGGATGTTGGAGGTAAGTTTCCTCTCTTGACATTCCACAGGTTGTTTCTGACAGTGACACTAAAAACGGTTGCGGATTTTTCTTTCCCAAGAAGATTTTCTGGCAAAAATTATTCGAGTTTTGACCTCGTGGCCACGTAACCTGTTGCAATTTACCAAAAAAATATGAGCGAAATAGGATTTTTGCCACAAGGCAGGGACAGTGTCTGGGGGGAACAATGAACTTTAGAAGGTTGCCATTTTGAGCCGGCACATTTTCTCATTTAAAAGTCCTATTCTATTTATAGTTCCCACGTTTTTATTTATATAAGTGTGTCTGCTGATAATAATTTTCAGTTAACATATGATCGGTACAGGAATTTTCTTTCTGTGTCATCTTGGAGACTACTTTTTTTTCTTCGACATAAAAATACACCTACACTTATGTTATGTTGCCATTTTTGGAAAAACTTTAATGTGTGATGTCTGATGTCTCATCTCAACTTGACTATGACAGTTGTTCTTTATTCTATATCAAGTTTCAATTTATGATACTTGAATAATCTCAAAAACAAATTTCCTGAAATTCCACAAAACTTGCTTTTTGTTCCAAATTTATTTATCTAAATTTATTTATCTTTTCACACGAGTTTTTATCTTTAAAATCATCTTTCCCTTTAATTTTTAAAACCCACATAAAAAAAAATCATATGAATGTCAAATTCCAGCACCAGGATTTATTTTTAAGTTATCTTGCGAACAGCTAAAACTTTGGAGGTTCTTCTCTATTGAAAATGTTCTTGGAGATTATTTGGAGTCAAATTATTGACTTGGATTCCTTCTAGAAAAGATCCAAAACTGTTGGGAATAGAGTTTCTACAAGTTGACTCTTTATTTTTAGAGGCAACAGAATTACACTTAAACCTGTGACGTGCCCAAGTAGTCTCTATTTTCAGGCTTACAGTCCTCCTGTGGGCACAGGTTCTAAATCCTTTACAATTGTAATTAAGAAAGTAACTTTCTCAATTACAATTGTGGAGGATGTAGAGGAAAGTATCAGTTGTTGTAATGTAATTCAGATTTTTCAAATGTAGGTAATTCAGAAAATCTCAATTATTGTTATTCAGATTTTTCCTCGGATTTTTCAAATGTACGTACCTATGTAATTCACAGAATCTCACGTGTTAAGATTTTTCAAATGTAATTCAGAAAATCTCATTTGTAATTCAGAATTTCTCTACTCAATTCAGAAAATTTGGTTGGTTTAAAATTTTTAGAACAATGTGTTCACAGTCCAGAAACCCTTTATCTATGCATGTACATCCACTATATACATAGGTTTCTGCTTATACAGGGTGTTCCAGGGAAAACAGTCCACCACGATTTTTTCGAATTGAAATTAAAATCTGGAAAAACGCTTGACACGGGAAATATTTTTCAATTTTTTTCATCCCCGTAGCTACAACCCCCTGGTTAGGGGAGAACAACCCCCAAATTTAAATAGGAGATAAGGGTCGTATCATACCTCTTTTTAAAGGTCTCATCGAGTTCTTTATGACCCTAAAATTTCGTCTCATTATTTTTATCCGTAACGAAATGACAGCTTGTCAAAATCTTGGAAATAGACTTTTGCTTTAGTAGGAGTAAAAGCGGTACTTACCTCCCTTAATAATAGATATTTACGATACAAGTGAGTTGACAGCATCATTAAGATTCGCGTGTGGAAGTTGCACAACGAGTGCGTAGCACGAGTTGTGTAACCACACAAATATCTTAATGAGGGTTAACTCACGTGTAATGTACAATATTTTATCTACGCCATACGCTCTTAACTTTAAAAACACAAAAAAATAATAATTTCAATAATAATTGTATTATCTATTCTAAAAACCAGCTACCTGCATCACCTCAATACCTTTTGTTCAAATAACAATATAAACTTGACCAAATTACCATGAAAACACGATAACACCATGCATGATTTCATATCAATTTGATGGTAAAGTTTGTTTTTTTTTTAAAGATAATTCCCCAAGTCAAAAATTTAGTAACTATGTTGGCACCACAAGCCTTTTCTACATAAAAAAAATCTCGAAAAAAATGAAAGCTTTGACAATTTGTCATTGTATTGCCAACACAATGTCATTTTGACTTTTATCTTTAAAAAACAAAACAGATTTTAAATAATATTGATGTCACTATAGTTTCAAAAACCTAAGAAAGAGTGCGGTAATGAAAATGCGTGAGTTAAGAAGCTCTTAACTCACTCAAAATGCGTAAGTTAAGAGCTTCTTAACTCACTGGGTGCGGTAATGAAAATGTGTGAGTTAAGGAGCTCTTAACTCACTCGAAATGCGTGAGTTAAAAGCTTCTTAATTCACTGGCGTAGATAAAAATACTTACAATTTACAATTCACATGTACACCTAATTAACAATAATAATAAAAAACTTCAATTTCAAGTATTTTAATTGAGGGAGGTAAGTATCCCTTCCACTCCCACTGAAACAATAGTGTATTTCCAAGATTTTGACATTTCGTTAAAGATGAAAATAATAAGATGAAATTTTAGGGCCAAACTCGATGAGACCTTTAAAAAGAGGTATTACACGACCCCTATTCCCTATTCAAATTTGGGGATTGTTTCCCCCCAGCTAGGGAATTGAAGCTACGGGGATGAAAAAAACTGAAAAATAGTTGACACATGACAGCAACATGCAGGAAATTTTCTCACTAAACTTAAACCCGCGTCTCCGAGGACACTCTAAAAAACTGAACAAAAATAGAGCCAATAAACTGCCGAGAAAAAACTTTCTAAGCAACAGAGTTGTCTATAAGTGGAACTCTCTGAGTGAGGAGAAGGTGAGTGCCCCAAGCATCAACAGCTTCAAAAATCGTTTGGACTCAGCAATGGAAGAGATCAATGATGTTTTTGTGCATTATATACCATAAAAAAAACCAAAGAAAAAAAGATGAAAAAGAAAATCAAGAGCAAAGTCTAAATTTCGACCTAGCCTGTGAACGGACTCATCGGTTTCGACCGCTTTCCGTTTTAATAAATAAATTAATAAATAAATAAATAAATAGTTCCCCTTCAAATCAAAAATCGAGGTGAAATCCAATAAATTAGAGTGGACTGTTTTCCCTGGGACACCCTGTATTTTATTATTATTACATAGTTTTTGTATTATTTGAGATTTAAAATTGAGGCGCTGAGAACCACAACGGACCATCCCACAAAATATTGAACCAAGATTTGTTATCTGAATTATCTACATCTGATATTATCTGATTTACAATTGAAATTTTCTGAATTATATTTGAAAAATCTAAATTACAATTGAGGTTTTCTGAATTACATGTGAAAAATCTGAAATACATTTGTGTTTTTCTGAATTACAATTGGAAAAGGTGTAGTCAATCAAGAAGACTTAAAATTCCCAATTGAAGACATGTATCGTGCCCCAAGGGTTCCAACTTTTTTACATTTTACATGCAATTTCAAAAAACTATACATTCTGAGAATTCCGAATCTAAATTGGATCATTATAACTAGAACGAACATAATCACGTGAGGCGGCTCACTCTTGAAATCGCTGTATCCTTTGGAAATCCATTAGAAATCGCGAAATACAAAATCCTTTTGAAATCTCGATAGGTTTATCAAAATCCTCAAAATCTTTAGTGGTATAAGGTCGAAAGTCAAATAAGTATCCGGAATCTTTTGATATCCTCAAGGATATCCCATAATCCCTTATAAATTGTAAAAATCCCCTGCGATTACCAAAATCGATGTTCAAGTTGTGGGGAGTGAGCCGCACCTTGGGGAATCACTATGTTTGATACACAGGGGCTATATGACATAAATAAAGAGATGGTGCTGCGCAATCCACCTTCCTGATTTTGTACACCAAATATAAAGCTCTAAAAAATACTAATTTTCATGTTATTGTCTCAAAAAATTATAAAAAATCCCTACAGATTGCTCAGGCCCTTGAGCATGCGCAATTGGTGAAAATTCTAAATTATTTCTAAGAAATTGTAATTCAATTAAGTATAGAAATTATAGGCTTTAATAAGAGCCTAATAACACAGAAATCAGATGAAAATTAATGGAGCTGTGAAGCAAAAACTGTCTCAGTCTCATTTTTAGAAAATTTTCAATGTTCAATAAATTCAATATTAAAGCTTCTCAGGTGCAAAACTGTCAATTAATCAAAAATCTCAATTAATAGGATTGTAGAGAAGTTGATTGGATTCAATTAGAGCTTAATTAGGTACACTGAAATTGGATAAAAATTAATAGAGCAGTGAAGCAAGCCTGCCTCAGTTTCATTTTTGGAAAATTTTCAAAAATCGATAAATGCAATTTTGAAGCTTCTCAGGTGCAAAACTGTTGAAACTAAATCACAATAACCCGCAAAAACCCAAAAGGAAGTTCCAAAAACCTGGGTTTGTGCCAACCCTAATTAGAACTCTTTTTGTCTCCTGAAATGTTTTCGAAAAGAATGACAAAATGTGATTGAGTGCATTCCTATCAAGATTTATATGAAATTCTACTCGTTAATTGTAGGTAATTGGAGTTCTAGTAATCTTGTCTGGGACACTAGAACAAATAGAGATATTTTCTCTATTTCTATTGACGTCCCCTCTCCATTGATTTCAAAAAGAGAGAAGACGGCAAGTGTTACAGCTGTTACAGAGTTCCAACCCTGGCAACTGATTAATACTGTCAAAAAATAAATTCACCACATGCGATTATCAGGTACAATTTCATATGAATCTCCATATGCATTAAGGTAACAAAAAGATTTTTGGCTTTCTAACTGAATAATATTTTTAAACAAATTCAAATGTTCAACTCAAGTTTCGAGGCTCCAAAGACAGACGGGCCCACAAAAAGTGTCTTAAGGGGGTTCTCTGCCTAAAAGCGTAACAACAGAGTTCTGAGAAATAAAAAAAAATACCATTCCTAGGAGGCTGCAACTCCAAAAGGGGGAGGCCATTTACCAAAAAATAAAAAATATGGGTCAGC